CATGTCCTCTTCTTGCATCACCCCTTCACCACTCCCATCAGCAGGTGCACCCATCCACATGCTCTTTGCTAAGAAATGCGTTCCCCCAACCTGTTAGCACTGACTTTGGAGTCAGAGGAGCAAGGGGGTTCTTCTGGCTGTGTGGCCTTGCATGAGTCACTTGACTCCTCTGAGCATCACAGGGCAGGGAACACACTACCTATCGCTGGATGCCATGAGGATTAAACGTGGAAACTTAAGAAAGGTCTGGATACAGCAGCAGGCCCTCAGTAAATGAGAAACATGCATAGGGGTATGGATTGAAGGTTTCTGTCCCCTCCCAAAATTCATGTGTTGAAAACTTATCCCCAGTGCAACAGCACTGGCAGATGGGGCCTTTTGGGAGCTGTTTAGGTCATGAGGGCTCCACCCTCATGAACAGAGTGATGCTGTTATAAAAGAGTTTGCAGGCTGGGCGCGGTGGCTCACGCCTGTAATCCCAGCACTTTGGGAGACCGAGGCGGGCGGATCACGAGGTCAGGAGATGGAGACCATCCTGGCGAACACGGTGAAACCCCATCTCTACTAAAAATGCAAAAAAATTAGCCGGGCGTGGTGGCAGGCGCCTGTAGTCCCAGCTGCTCAGGAGGCTGAGACAGGAGAATGGCGTGAGCCCGGAAGGCGGAGGTTGCAGTGAGCTGAGATCGTGCCACTGCACTCCAGCCTGGGTGACAGAGCGAGACTCCGTCTCAAAAAAAAAAAAAAAAGAGCTTGCAGGAGTGCAGGTTCACTCTCTACTGCTCTTCTGCCACATGAGGACACAGCAGGAAGACCCTCACCAGATGTCAACACCATGATCTTGGACTTCCCAGCCTCTAGAACTGTGAGCAATACATTTCTGTTCTTTATAAATTACCTAGTCTCAGCTATTTTGTTAGAGCAGCTCAAATGGACTAAGACACAAGCCAGCCAGAAAATAACATATTTGCATTCTTCCCAGCCCTTCTCTTGCTTGCTTTCTAAGGGGGGTGCAGGCTTGAAGCAGAGAAGCCTGGGGAGAAGCCAGGAGCCAGTGAGCCAGGCACCAGGCCCCAAGCGAGGCACTAGGGATATAACTGGAAATGAGACTCGGTTTTGCATACCCACAGTAAGAGTACCAGGAAGGCCCCCAGCTACACCCTGTCCTCTTTCTCTTCCCACCCGGGCCCAGTGTGTGGCCACTCCAGCCCACACATCCAAGCTGTGTCCATGTCCCCCAGACACAGGCTCCACGGCCACCTCCAGGCCTAGCAGCATAGTGGAGTCCACCCTCGGGAGAATGAGTCACGGGAAGGGAGCCACACAGGCCCCGGAGCAGGCTCAGGCCTTTGGAGCAAGCCATTCCAGCATCCACAGTGTGCTCTACAAGCAGGGGTGGTCTGGGCTCTGGGTTGGCACCTACTCTTGGCCCCTTACCCTGTGGGACGGGGTGTGGCCAGAAGTAACCATAGCCAGGTCCAGGGTCAAAGCCTGGGCCCTGCTTGCCTCAACCTAGGGCAATTAGACACTGACTGGGTCCCTGTGCTCTTAGAGTCGAATAGCAAGAACAGACGTTAAACAAAGAACTTGAAGAAGGTAAGATCTATGATACAAATGCCAGTGGAGGGAGAGCCTGGCTTCCCCCGGGACTGGGAGCAAATCCTCCAATGCCCCCAGCTAAGGTCCCCTCGAATCCCGCTGCCAGCGCTCCCTCCCAGACCCCCGACAGAGTGTTTAGGGAGGTGTGCCCACAGCTTAGCCCCAGTCCTGCCACGCTCTGGGCTCTGAGGCCCAGGGTCCCTGGGGCAGTGTCTCCCAGCAGATGGCTTCCTGCCCAGCGGCAGATGCCTGCCCACCCCAGCCCAGGGATCCAGGTGCTCGGCACGCAGTTAACAAGTTCCCCAGCACATTCTCATGCACCTTGAAGTTGGAGAACCCCTGTTGGAGGGAGCACACCCTGTTTGTGCATTTGTTCTGCATTCTTATATTGAGCACCTACAGTATGCCTGGCACCGATCGGGGTGCTGAGTATACACCTGTGCACAGACATGGCCCCCGACCCCGTGGAGCTGGCATCCGAGCCGGGGAGACAGACAGTAAGGCAAATAAATGCATGGCGAGATCATTCCCACAGTGGTAAGATCCGTGAGGACAATAAAAAGGGCAGGGAAGGCCTCGTGGAGGAGGTGCTGTTGGAGCTAAGACCTGAAGGACTTAGAACTGGGTCTTTCTGCACCACATCCTCACTATTGCGTGGCCCTGCCTCCCTTTGTCCGGTTGGGGCACCCTCGGGCCTGAGGGGCCAGAAAAAGTGAGGGTGATGGTGGAAAGAAGGTCATGCCTCCTCCCCCTGGAGAAAAACCTTCACAAACTGAGCGTGGAGGGAAGTGGTGATATAAAACCCACCACATATAAATAGGCTCGTCCGCTCGAGTCGCCCGGGAAAGCTGCGGTCAGTTTGGACTTTGCTTAAGGCTGAGCTCCCAGCCACCGGGAGCCCAAAACGGCTGAACAAACTTCGAGCTTCACATGGGGCCAGCCCTCGGTGAGTTCAAGGCTGGAGCATTTCTCCAGAGTCAAAACCGCAACAGGAAGACACAGAAACAGTCTTCCGAGGAGGGCCGCCCTGGCGCAAGGTCAGCCTTCCCAGAGGTCACCGTGGAGGGGAGTCAGGGAGAAGCCAGGAATATCCCCTAGCTCCAAAACCTCTCCCCCGCCCAGGTGCCACCATGCCTGAAATTTCGCCATGAGAATTGAGGAACTGGATTAAGCATTGTTGCCCCTTTACTCCTGCAAGAAAGAACACACTTGTCCCGAACACGGGGTGGGTAGGAAGCGGGGCTCTGGGTGGTGTGGCTGTGCTGACGGTGTAGCCCGAAGCCTCCTAGACAGTTCTGATTTCAGATCATCTGTACCCATTTTCCATGGCAACCAACTGGTGTCTCCTAGGGACATAAGCCCATCCTCGTAGTTGTCTAGAGAAAGGAGTCCCAGGCAGGGAGTCCGGAGCTCTTGGTTCTGGCTCTGCCACTTGGCCAAGTTTCCCTTCCTATCCCTGGGCCTTGATTTGTTGATCTCTACAATGGGAACTGTGACCTCACTCAAGTCCAGGGATCCTTGGGCTGATTCCCTTCCCTAACAAGAAGCAGGGACGTGGGCTTCAGAATGAAGGTGGCAGTGTCCCTGGTGAGGGGAGGAGAGAGGAGAAAAGGGCCCTGGGGAGGAAGGTGGACACGCTGGGATGAAACCTGCCAACTCTCCAGGTGCTGCCCACTAGCCAGATCCTGCCTCCTTCCTTGGATGCTTGGACCCCCAGGGAGTTCAATCAAGTCACTCCAGAGCAGCTTTGAACCTGCACTCTGGCCAGCGTAGCCGCCAAAGCCATGCCCCGGGGCTCCCCTACTATGGGAGCAAGGAGATGCTTTGTCAAAGCTGCTCAGACTCACACCAGACCTCTGCTGGTGCTGCGGAAGTGACCAGCACAGAGGCCCGAGCACTGTCCATGCAGGAAAGAGCACGGGAGTTGGGGCAGGCAGGGACCTGGGCCAGAATCTGCACTTCATCCTTAATTCACTCTGTGACCTCGACCAGTCAGTCCCTCAGCTTCTCTGAGCCTCAGTTGCACCATCTGTAGAATGGGGCTAATGATCCCTCTTAGAACCCATGGAGGCTCCCAGGACATTATGCACCCACTCTGCCTACCTCCATGCCTGGCACACAGTAGTTTTACAGAAGAATAATTTCCTTCCTCTAAGAAATGTATGGGTTTGTTTGTTTGTTTGTTTGTTTATTGTTTTGTTTGTTTGAGATGGAGTCTCGCTCTGTCACCCAAGCTGGAGTGCAGTGGCGCGATCTCGGCTCACTGCAAGATCCACCTCCTGGGTTCAGGCCATTCTCCCGCCTCAGCCTCCCGAGTAGCTGGGACTACAGGCGCCCGCCACCACCCCCGGCTAATTTTTTTGTATTTTTTTTAGTAGAGACAGGGTTTCCCCATGTTAGCCAGGATGGTCTCGATCTTCTGACCTCGAGATCTGCCTGCCTCGGCCTCCCAAAGAGCTAGGATTACAGGCTGGAGCCACCACACTCGGCCTGTTTTTTTTTTTTGGTTTGTTGTTGTTGTTGTTTGTTTGTTTGTTTGTTTGTTGTTGAGACAGAGTTTCACTCTGTTGCCCAGGCTGGAGTGCAGTGGCACAATCTCGGCTCACTGCAACCTCCCCCTTCTGCGTTCAAGCTATTCTCCTACCTCACCCTCCCAAGTAGCTGTGACTACAGGCGCAGGCCACCATGCCTGGCTAATTGTTGTATTTTTAGTAGAGACGGGGTTTCACCATATTGGCCAGGCTGGTCTCGAACTCCTGACCTTGTGATCCGCCTGCCTTGCCCACCCAAAGTGCTGGGATTACAAGCGTTAGCCATCGTGCCCGGCCAAGAAATGTGTGTTTAACTGTGCATTTGATCCTGGTCCCAACATTTAACTCAGGGGCTAAGCTCCTCCCACAAGGGGAGCTGGATTTACACAATTGAGAAATATAATCGCCACTGCCACCCAGACTCCTGCCACCAGATCTCTGTATGTCACTGTGTAAGGTCCTGCCAGTGCAGGGCTACCACCATTGATAGTAACTGCAACTGAGTGCACACTTACCACGTGCTGGGTGCTTCACACACTTTCACTGCCTCATCACATTCTCACCTCAAGCCGCCAACCTGAGGAAACCCCCCATTTTACAGATGTGAAAACTGAGGATCAGCTCAGGGATATGAAGTTCCTGCTCAGAGACCACACAGAGGTGGAAGGGACTCAGTCTCACTGTCTGCTGCAAAGCCCGTGCATTTACCACTAGGCTACCCTGCCTCTGGAGGCTGAGCAAAGCCTCTGTTTCTCGGTACCCCAGGGAGGGCTGCTGGGGAGAGCCCAGAGGAAATAGCAGAGGCCTGAGTGACCCTCCTCACCAATCAGCAGATGACAATTTCACTTAAACCCAATTTCACCACATTAAGAGCTTCTCTTCCTTCTTTTCAAAAGAACTGGGCTTCAGGGTGGACTCCCAAAGTGGTTCTGAATTCTGGAGGGGCCAAGAGTGTGGTTATAATGCTGAGGGCACATCTCCAGGGTCATCATGTTTACTGAGTTCAATATGGACACAGGAGTCTTGGTGACGGTCCCCAGATATGTGAACTCGGAGTCATTCTGGGCAATCAGGGTCCTGGGGTCACTGCTGGGAAATTCCCACAATGCCTCAGTTCTCTCTGGGAAAGTCCAGCTGTGCCTCCAGACTGGGACTCAGTCGCCACACTTATGGGCCAGCCGCGGTGATCAAGGCTCTGTGGGTCTCTCCAGCACCCCCAGACACCCTGGCTGGGCCTGGGGACAGTCAGGGAAAGCTTCCTGGAGGAGGGATGATGGAGCAGGCCTTTGTGGACAGAGAAGATTCACGCAGGCAGAGAGAGCGGCATCTTCTCCAAAGAGTTTTCCTGGCACCACAGACAGGGCCGGCCTTCCTTGTCAAGCAGACCTGGGTTTGAATCCTTGGATGGACAAATAGATAGATGGATAAATATATTTTGAAAAAGAAGGAAGGAAAGGAGAAAGGGAGGGAGGGAGGAAGGGAGGGTTCATTCGTACTCATTTGTTAATTTCAGGGCTGCAGGCCCTTGCTGCCCGCATTTGCCCCTCCTGCAGAATCTATAACATCAGTCCGGAGACGCTGGGTTACACTGCAGCCACAGGCAACTCCAAAGCCGGTGGCCCCACACATGAAGCATTCGCTCCTGCTCACACTGCATGCCTGTGGATGGGAGAGCAGTGGGAGAGGCCCCAAAGCCCCATCTGCTCTGTGTTGTCCCCACCCAGGTCCCAAGTCACCCCCATCCTGCTAGTTGCTGCTTGCTGTCACATTTTGCTGGCCAAAGCCAGTCACACAGCCACCTCTAACTTCAAGGGGGTGGGAAGTGCATTCCTACCTTAGATCCAGAAGGAGGAGAACCTGGATACCTCGCTGCCACAGAAACCATGTCCCATTCCAGCTGCCTGGAGCACTGTCCCCCAGTCAGGGGGGTGGGGACTGGGGAGGGAGGGGAGACAGCAGAAAGACCCTGGCCCCATGGCTTCAGTGCAGGGATCCCAGTGGCCTGCAAAGGTATCCTCCCTCCCCAGCTCCCTGGCTCGGCTTGCTGTGGGTAGACTTCACCATCAGCCAGAGAGCAAGTCTCCCAGTTGGGGCTGGAGATGAGTCTTGTCCTGAACCACTCTCAGATGGATCCTTGCTCCCAGCTATGCCCCCAGGGGTCCAAGGGCAGGCCCTCAGGGACTAAAATGCTCCCTAGAGATAATCAAGTCCAACCCTTTCATTTAAGGCTCAGACAGCATGTGCTGGATTCCCATGGCACTATTGGTGAAGGGCAGAGCAGGGTCTCTAGTGACCCTGTCCAGAGTCCCTTCTACCCTCCAGCTGCAGACAGGGACCTTCTGAATGGAATGCAAGAGATAGGATAAAATGTCTGCCCTTCCCCTGGCCAAAGTCTCACTGCTGAGCTTGACGGGGTCCTCGGGGGCAGCTGGGGGCCTTGGGACCTCTCCCACTGCTACAGGGGCCCCTTCTCATCTGCAGGGGAAGAAGCACTGGATTTGAAGTCAGGCAGTACTGTGTTCATGTCACGTCCTGACCAAGTGTCCCTGGCCAAGACACTTCACCTCACTGGACCTCAATTTCCTGATCTATAAAACGGGGACAATGATACCTGCCCTGCCTAATTCACTGGACTCATGAGAAGCTGTGGGAAGATTTCTCCCATTGTGACATATTCTACAAATGTGTATAAGGCAATGTTTTCATCCCCTTCTGCCCAGCCAGCCTGACCAGCCCTGGGTCCCCAGAGGCTCGCACAAGTTCTGCACAGAGGTATATTCAGGGACTGTTTTGATGAACTGAATGTATTAATATATGTCCCTTTTTTTTTTTTTTTTTTTTGAGACAGAGTCTCTCTCTGTCGCCTAGGCTGGAGTGCAGTGGCATGATCTCAGCTCACTGCAACCTCTGCCTCCCGGGATCAAGCAATTCCCCTGCCTCAGCCTCCCAAGTAGCTGGGATTACAGGTGCCTGCCACCATGCCCGGCCAATTTTTGTATTTTTAGTAGAGACAGGGTTTCACCATGTTGGCCAGGATGATCTTGATCTCCTGACCTCATGATCCGCCCGCCTGGGCCTCCCAAAGTGCTGGTATGTTCTTAATTCATCTCATCAGGTAGCAGCCAACTTTAAGGCCAGTGCTGTGGATAACAAAGTCCCTCGGTCCTACGAGGAGCCCAAGCACATCTGTCACAGATATGGGAGCCCGAGAGGTCGCAGGCCACGCTAGGCGCTCGGCACTCATCTCTGTATAATTTGGTTCGCGGATTTATAGCCCATCTCCCCCACCAGCCTGTGCACTCCATGGACGCAGGAAACGGGTCTGGCTGGTTTTCTGCTAAATCCCCAGCACCTGGCCTGGGGCCTGACAGGTGGCAGGTCTTCAGTGAATATTTATCGTCCGAATGAAGGCTCTTGTGGATCTGGCTCCGTTCCTTCCAGCAGTCCCATCTCTCTGCACCTTGGATTCTTTATCTGTGAGAGGGAAGGAGGTGGGAAAATAAGCTGAGATAGCAAAGAACTCAGATAACAGTTTACAAAGCCCTTGGGTCACCAAAAGGCTCGCAGTGGGCCTGGCTGCTATCATCACCATTGCCATCACTACCATACTGCAGAGATGAGACAGCTCCCATAGAGGCTGCAGAGGGCTGGGGGAGGGCTCCAGCCGGGCCCCCAGTGTGTCCTGAAATACCACACACATTGCAAGTCCAGTGCCAGACCCACAGTTCCATTTCAGCTGCCAGACAGTGGTTCTTCTCCCCGTATCTTGGAAGAAGAAATGAAGAAATTGAGACTCAGGGCGACAAGAGAATTCGCCCAGGTCACACAGCGCCTACGCACTTGATCATTTCCTGAGGGTCTCCAGGGTGCCTGTCCCAGCAGCAACACAAGCTTGCCTCATTTTATCATATGCCCATCTTACAGGTGAAGAAATTGAGGCCCACGGAGGTCACAGGGCTTGCCTGAGAACCACAGCCAGTTAATAGCAAAAGAGCATCTCCCGCCCCTACTCGGGCCTCAGCCTCAGTTCCCGGTGCCCACTCCATCCCCAGGAGGCTGGGATCTGAGCAGGGCCCTGGCCACTCTCTGCCACTCCGGAAGTGCCCTGTGTCTGTACCTTGATCTCCACACCCACGGTGCCAGGAAACCCCGGCAGGGGCGGCAAACTGCGGGATATTTATAGCGAGTGTGCAGAACGCTGCCACCCCCATCTGTTTACCCAACAACGCACTTCTCGCTGGCCACTTACAGCCCCGCCAGCCACAGACAGACCCTCTCGGTCGCCTCATCTATTTTTTCCTCCCCACTTAATTTTGCATCATCCCAGCTTCCAAAATAAACTTCCCCAAACCAGCCAGGCTCATTCTGGCCCAGAATCCCTGCCCGAGAGCCCCCTTCAGCCCCTGCCCCCACATCAGCCCATGCAGCAGACCCACCAAACCCAACCCGGCCCCGTGGCTGCCTTTGGCCTTGATTTAGAAGCAGCTGCTCCTGCCCCGGCGGGTTTCTGACAAGGCAGTGCCGGGGCGTCTGTCTCTGCAGGGATGCCGGCTGGGCTTCTGTGTGCATAGTTGCTGGTAGGAGGCTGAAGATACTGCCCCCTGTGCCCTATCCACCTCCCCAACACACATGGACACACACACGTATGCACACACACAGAAACACAGAGCCCCACAAGCGTCAGCCTCCTCCAAGACTTCTCCCCCCTCATTCCCTGGCCCAATGCATGGGGCCCAGCCACTCCTCACCTGCCCACCCACCGCTCTGAATGTTTCCTTCCTCAGTCCCACTCTGCCATTTCACCTCCAGGCCTTTGGACATGCTCTTCCCTTAGCCTAGAACACTACAACAGTTTTCTCCTCACCACCAGCCAAGTTTACCTTACCAATCCCTCAGGCCTAAACGCTATGTCACCTCTTTCAGGAAACTCCCTGTCCAGCGTAGGGGAGGCGGTGTGTCCTGGGCCATCCTACCTTCCACCAGGCCAAGAGACACTTCTAAGTCACACCTAGGGTGGAATGGGGCCCCCACCTGACCCTTACCCCCACCCCAATTCTCCACGAATTTCTCAGCCCAGCCCTGGCCCTGCACACAGAAGCAAACCAGCTCTCTCACCCCTAGGAGAAAGCACTCCCGCACCCCAGGACCAGAGAGGACCATTAAGCCCACCCCCGTGTTGCAGCCAGGGACATCTCAATCCTTCCAGAATTACCATCCCAACTTCATGTTCAATCCCTTGAGCTGCAGGTTTTTCAGGCTACTAATTCACAAGACCGTTTATTTCTTCTAAGTTTCTTTGCAAAGGTTGAGGATAGGAAAGGAATTAATGTTATGTCTATTTCCATTTAAAAGAAAGATACTCGTAGGCCCGTTTTTGGATAAAGAAACTGTAGCTTAGAGAATTCCGCTTCAATTATTCATTCAGCACTCACGCACTGAGCTCTCACCACATCCCAGGCACACCACAGCACCAGGGGCACAGCAGTGGGCAAAACAGCCACAGCCCCTGCCCTCCTGGAGGCCCCAAGCCGCGGGAAAAGACGCATTCAACAGACGATTACACCAATAACTATTGAATAACCATTTGTATTAGGTTGACAGTGTTTCAAAGCTCAGGACTAAGACAGAATATGTAATCAGAAGCCCACGGAAGCCTTCTCAGACCTGTTATGGAAGTTGAGACCTGCAGCAAATTAGTCCACTAAAGAGTAAGTTGAGACCAGGCACAGTGGCTCACACCTATAATTCCCACACTTTGGGAGGCCGAGGCAGGGGGATCACTTGAGCTCAGGAGGTCGAGACCAGCCTGGCCAACATGGTGGGAAACTCCATCTCTACTAAAACTACAAACATTAGCCGGGCATGGTGGCATGGCCCTGTAGTCCTAAGCTAGTAAGGAAGCTGAGGGAGGAGAATCGCTTGAACCCGGAAGGCAGAGGTTGCAGTGAGCCAAGATGATGCCACTGCACTCCAGCCTGGGTGACAGAACAAGACCCTGTCTCAAAAAAAAAAACAAAAAAAAAACAAAAAAAAAAGCAAGTGGAGGGGCATTCCCAGCAGGAGAAACAGCACACGCAAAGGCCTGGAGAGACCTCTTGACCTCCCAAAGTACTGGGATTACAGGCACATGCCACTGTGCCCAGGGGTACGGTGTCCCAGGTACTCAGAAGGCTGAGGATTGCTTGAGCCCAGGAAGGCTACAGCAAGCCATGACTGTGTTAATGCACTCCAGTCAGTGACTGGACAGCAAGACCCTGTCTCTAAAAATAAAAAAAAAAGAAGGAGGGAGGGAGGGAGGGAGGGAAGGAACAAAGGAAGGAAGGAAGGAAGGAAGGAAGGAAGGAAGGAAGGAAGGAAGGAAGGAAGGAAGGAAGGAAGGAAGGAAGGAAGGAAGGAAGGAAACATTCAAGTGCAATTCGGCACCTCATGCAGTAATCCTTAGCTGTCAGTTACATTTCTGTTACCATGACCTAGACCAAATACCGCTTCTAATTTACCTTGAAGTTTTCTTTATCAGTCAGGCCTTTTTCTGAGACTTCAGAATTGCAGGTGTCCAGATTGTCTGCCTCCCTGTTAATGGTCACTGCCAGACTAGCTTTTCATTCCTCCAAGTTCCTCTGATTTCTTCCCTTGTAGGTGATGTCAATTACCTTTGAGAAGAAGTCAAGTTAACACTGCCCACCCCAAGCTTCCCCGAGGCAATGGGCTGCATTAGAGGTCTGCCATGTGGAAGGGATGGGTCTAACAAGGGCCTTACCACTCCTGAATAGTGTGTTTCCCAGGTTGGGTCCCGGGATGTTCTCCTAACATCAGCTTCAACACACACTCGGATTCAACCTTCTGTTGAAGGTCCAGCACTAGCAAAGCCTCCACGTCCCCCGTGTGCCACTCTGCTTCCCAGAGGAGTGGTATCCCTTCCAGGTCAAGCCGTTTTGAAAGTTCAAGCAGGGGCCAGGTGTGGTGACTCACGCCCGCAATCCCAACACTTTAAGAGGCCGAGGTGGGCAAATTGCTAGAGCCTAGGAGTTTGAGACCAGCCTGGGCAACACAGTGAGACCCTGTCTCTTAAAAAAAAAAAACACACACACACACACAAATTAGCTGGACATGGTGGTGCATGCCTAGCATTCCGGCTACTCAGGAGGCTGAGGTGGGAGGATCTTTCTTGACCAGGAGGTTGAGATTGCAGTGTGAGCTGTGATTATGCCAGTGCACTCCAGCCTGGACGATGGAACAAGACCCTGTCTCAAAAAAAAAAAAAGATTTGGCCAGGCACGGTGGCTCACATCCGTAATCTCAGCACTTTGGGAGGCCGAGGCGGGCAGATCACGAGGTCAGGAGATCGAGACCATCCTGGCTAACACAGTGAAACCCTGTCTCTATTTAAAACTACAAAAAATTAGCCAGGCGTGGTGATGGGTGCCTGTAGTCCCAGTTACTCGGGAGGCTGAGGCAGCAGAATGACGTGAACCGGGAGGTGGAGCTTGCAGTGAGTCGAGATTGCGCCATTGCACTCCAGCCTGGGTGACAGAGCGAGACTCCGTCTCAAAAAAAAAAAAAACAGACTCAAGAAGAATGCTCAGCTGCAACAAGTGTTTTCACCACAGTCCTCTGTTTCTAGAAGTGAAGAGCAAGCTGCCAGCTGACTCAGTGAGGTGACAAGAGGATAAAGACAGACAGGAGTCAGCTTCCGTGATTCAATCCAGTCAGAAAGACCAAGCAAGGACAGGAGCCCTGTGAGGGAATCAGAATCATGACCTGAGGCTGGGCCAGTGGACAAGACCCCAGACCTGTAGGCCAGGCTGTGCAGGGGGATCCCAGGACGGCAGGTAAAGGTGAATGCCGTCACCCTGATCAGTGAGAGCCCCATCCTTCAGGTGGGTGGAAAAGGGATACCTGCCTTCTCCTAGGCAGGGAGGGGCTGGGGCATAACAAGGTCATAACCACTCCAGGGTGAAACGAGGACTGCTGCAAGTACAGCCCTTAGAATCCTGGAATCACAGGACATTGGGGAATTTTTCTTCTCAGCATTACAAGAGACTGGAGAGAGAGGAGGTTAAAATATCCCAGGGCCAGGCGCGGTGGCTCACACCTGTGATCCCAGCACTTTGGGAAGCCAAGGCGGGCGGATCACCTGAGATCAGGAGTTCAAGACCAGCCTGGCCAATATGGTGAAACCCCATCTCTACTAAAAATACAAAAATTAGCTGGGCGTGGTGGCAGGTGCCTGTAATCCCAGGTACTCGGGAGGCTGAGGCAGGAGAATCACCTAAACCTGGGGGTGGAGGTTGCAGTGAGCCGAGATCGTGCCACTGCACTCCAACCAGGTGAAAGAGCAAGACTCCATCTCAAAAAAAAAAAAAAAGAAAGAAATCTCAGGGTTCCAGGTGGAGAAAATGGGCTTCACCTAAAGCAGGAAAGACTGCAGTTAGACATGAGGTAGGAATACTGACCATCCAAGTGGCAGCATGTGGAATGAACTCCCGAAGGTGGATGTAGGTTCAGCATTCCCAGGACCGAATGCAAAAAGACCTGCCCTGACTGGTGAGGCTCGACCAGAAGGGCCAGCTTTCCTGAGTCTGACAACCCCTCTTCCATGGCAAAAGATTCCATAATGAGGGCACTTTTAGTATGTGTTAATGGCAAAATAACAAAAAGCCAA